AAAGAATGGGAGGAAGAAAGGGAGAAAGAAAGGGAGAAAGAAAGAAAGGAAGAAAGAAATAGTAAAAAAGAGGGGGAGGGAGAGAGAGAGGGAGAAAGAAAGAAAGAAAGAAAGAAAGAAAGGGAAAAAGAAAGGGAGAAAGGAAGGAAGGAAGGAAGGCAGGGAGAAAGAAAGAGGAAGGGAGGGAGGAAGAAGGGGAGGGAGAGGGAGAAAAAAGAAAAAGAAAGGAAAAAGAAAGAAAGAGAGAGAGAGAGAAAGAAAGGGAGAAAGAAAGAATGGGAGGAAGAAAGGGAGAAAGAAAGGGAGAAAGAAAGAAAGGAAGAAAGAAATAGTAAAAAAGAGGGGGAGGGAGAGAGAGAGGGAGAAAGAAAGAAAGAAAGAAAGAAAGAAAGGGAAAAAGAAAGGGAGAAAGGAAGGAAGGAAGGAAGGAAGGAAGGAAGAGGGGAAGGGGGAGAGAGAGGGAGAAAGAAAGAAAGAAAGAAAGAAAGAAAGGGAAAAAGAAAGGGAGAAAGGAAGGAAGGAAGGAAGGAAGGAAGGAAGAGGGGAAGGGGGAGAGAGAGGGAGAAAGAAAGAAAGAAAGGGAAGAAATCTGCTCCTTCCAGGCCTAACCTGTGTGTGGTTTCTCTTCAGGAGTGTCCCAGTGGCCTGGTGGATGAAGAGACCTTCAAGCTCATCTATGCCCAATTTTTCCCCCAGGGAGGTGAGTCTGCCATGCATCTCAGCAGCTTTTATCCAGCCTTTCTCAACTTTGACCCCTGGAAGATGAGTGGACTTCAACTCCCAGAATTCCCCAGCCACTTTAGAAAGTGAAGAGTTCAACTCTTAACGTTTAACTTAGAAGTTGGTTAGGGGACTCGCTGGCGTTGTTAAGTTAGTAACAGGGTTGTTAAGTGAATCTGGCCTCCCTGTTGACTTTGCTTGTCTCACAAATGGGGATCACATGACCCCAGGACTCTGTAAGCGTCCTAAGTACATGCCAGTTGCCAAGAGTCCAACTTTTGATCACATGACCAAGGGGAGGCAGCAATGGTTGTAGGTCAGTGGTGGATTCCGGATCCCATTCCAACCGGTATGGTTGGGGCGGGCCCGGCAGCGTCCACATGGACGTGTGCAGTGCACACATGCGCACGCACACAGCACACCCTTGCGTCTTAGCGCCTCTGCGAGCCTCCACAATGCTCCAGCTGCTCAGCAGAGCATTGTGCAGGTGCTGTACGCGCCATGCGCATGTGCAGAAGCGCCAAAGACTTAAAAGACCCTCCAGCGCACCGTACCAGTATCCAGTGCTCCGGGCAGGCTCCTACAACCCACCACTGTCGTAGGTGTGAAAAATGGTTGTGGTCACTTTTTTCAGTGCCATCCTAACTTTGAACAGTCACTAAATGAATGGTTGTAGGTTGAGGCCTACCTGTAATGAAGTCATCCTGGAGACAAGGTTGACTTCCTGTGATTTTTATGCACCTGTTACGGATGCTTTCCTTGACAACAGAACCCAAATGGCTGGCCACCCTTCTTTCTGGTTTCCCAGCCTAGCTTGTATCTCTTGGTCTGCTCAGTTTGGAGCAGAGGGGGTATTCAGCTGGTTCATCCCGGTTTGTCCAAACGGGTGGCAGAAATTTTGCCCAGTTCGGAGAAACAGTAGCGATGGCCGGCTGGCCACACGCCTGAACCAGTCCCCCTGTCGCTGGTTGCTCACCTCACCCATCTGGTCAGCGCTTGCTCTACATACCGGCTCTCAAAGAGCCCGCAGCTGGCTGCAGGCCGCTGAAAAGTCCTCTGGTCGGCAAAAAAGCAGCTGCCATCGCTACCATCTTCTTCGCGCATGCGCATTCCGTTGCCTTGCAAGTCTGCTTTGTAAGTATGCAAAGAGGCGGCGGCTGGCTGAGGGCCTCTGAAAACTCCGGTCAGCTCGCCTTCCAGATTGGACCAGCTGCCACTGAAGATAAGCAACCAAAGAGGTAGGGGAGAGAAGCGGGGAAAGGGGACGACTAGCAAAGGGAGGGTTTGGTTAGATTAGGAAAACTCCTAAAAATGTCCTAGATTTTCCTGTGGGCGTGGCTAGGTCAGGGGGGTCAACTCCCCACGTTGTCATGGGAGACAGGGAGGGGAAGTACATTCCACGCATCCTGTCGGCTGAAGTCGGATCTCACATTACTGCAGCTGGCTTGGGAGGGGTGCATCTTACAGGGGAATGTGATCTATGACACAGACTGAGGGGAGGGGAGGAACAGGAGTAAAGTTCAAAAGACAATCAAACAAAGCACAGGCTTAACTGCGAACAAATCTTTCCTAATGTAGCTCCTAGTAAATCACTGGTTTTGTATTAAAACCTTGGCTCGACAATTATGAATCAATTAGGGCATCTTTAGAAAATTTGACAGGGGGATGTGACTGAGTGGGCGTAGGCATGAGTGATGTCATGTTGGCCATGCCCACTCAGTCACATGCCCCCCACCTAGCCATGCCCACCGAACTCATAGCGAAAACTTTTGAATCCCACCACTGGTTTGGAGGCTAAAAATGGGATGCCAAAGACTTTGGGGAGCATGATATCCAATCCACGCTCAGCCTGAAGAACCTTATTTCAATGTCAACCTATACATCTCTGCACAATCCAATATTTTCCAAATTATGTTTTCATCTGGTGAGGTGTTCTCATTATCATAATTTTCTGGTATTATACCTAACAAAAATATTTCTGGCTTTAAATCTATATGCTGCTTAGTCATCTTTTCCAACCATGTGATTTATTTTCGTCCAATATTTTCTTGCTTTCATT